CTCTCTCTATGGAGGCCGCCATGTTTTTTACATTAGTCCAGACTGGACAAACTAAACACCTTTTGAGTTTTTATAACGACTGAAGCTACCACAGGTTCTTTTTCATGTTGAAGGAGAGGGTGAGGTGAGAGGTGTTCAGCTGCAACTTCACCACTAGATATCACAAAATTCTACACACTGTACCTTTAACTCCACTTGCATTGTCTAATCATCACCAAACTTTAAACTTAAGATCGGAGACATGACCTTGAACAGCTCCATATGTCAATATTAACTGAGGGTCATAGTGCCACCTGCTGACCAGTGGGAAAACGTAGTTGTTTTCAACACCACTGTGCATTGTCCATTCGGCACCAAAAGTAAAACCTGTGATCAGAGACATGACCTGAACAGTGTCAATATTAACTCGGGGTCATAGCGCCATCTACTGATTTGCCATGAAACAGGAAGTTGTATTTTAACTCCACTGTGCATCATCACCAAAATTAAATCCTAAGATCAGAGTCCTGGCTTTATCTGCTCCATATGTCAGAACTAACATGGTCATTATGCCACCTGCTGATTCACTGTGAAACAGGATTGTTTTTAACTCCACTGTGCATTGTCCAATAAGCCCCAAAATTACATCAGCTCAACAAGTTGTTGGCAGTCCAGCCCTCAAATACATTGCCCGTCATGATGGGAATAATGAATAATTGATCATTTTACTTCTTTGTAATGGTAAAAAGAGCAAGAGAGACAGAGAAATCCCCACAGACTGCCTGCAATGATGCTACCTGGCATGTCATTGAACACAGTGTTGCTCACCTTCTTCTCTGGGACAGGGAGGGGTACAGGTATGGAGAGACAGGGCTGCTGCCGACTCATCTGTTGTTAAGTCTGCTAAAAAGGACAGGGACCACTGCTTTAATATGAAGATCTTGCTAAACATTTCCCAGCACTGATTCAATGTTTGTGAAATGTAGGCTAACACTAGTCTGTAGCTAGCCACACACACAGAGAGAGAGAGATTAATAATTTATATTCATTTTGACCTATTTTGTGGGGCCCCTGTCAGTCAGGGGCCCTTGGAATTMCCCTAACTTTCCCCCCCTATAAGGTTAACACTCATACTCCTCGAAGCACAGGCAGAGGTGGAGGGGTTGCAGCAATCTCTAAATCTGACCTATCTATCAACCCTCGACTGAAACATAGTTATAACTTCTTTGAAAATCTTATAATCAGCCTCATCCACCCAAGCCTGAAATCACATAAACCAATTCATCTAGTTATCATATGTCGTCCGCCTGCCCCTTACTCAGAATTTCTATCTGAATTTCTATCAGAACTAGTTCTTAGGACAGATAAAATCATTATAGTGGGTGATTTCAACATTCATGTAGATGTTGCCAGCGACAGCCTTGGTTCAGCTTTCAACTCGATTGGTTTCACTCAACATGTGAATAAACCCACTCACTGTTTAAAACACACTAAACCCTCTTCTGTCTGACCATCTTTTAATTACATTTGAATTTAGAATTACTGACTACACCGATTCTGGACAGAAATTCTATTATAGTTGGTGTTTATCTGATAAAACTGTGAAGAAATTTAAAGAACTGCTTCCTTCTACATTTACCTCTCAGCCATGTGTCAGTACAATACAGGAAAGTTAAAAAAAACTTTACTCCCACACTAGTTGATAACTTAGTTAATAGTACAGCAGCCTCATTAAAAACAATCCTTGACGCTGTCACCCCTCGAAAAAAGAAGTAACTCTCAAACGTGTTTTATAACAGACATCATAGAAGTGGCATTCCACCAGTCAATATGACTTTCACCTAACCTGGAAGGAAGGCCTGATTTATTATTACAGCATTAATCTATATTTTAATTAACCATAATCACTCTACTTTAGCACCTAATCAAGAATGTTATTTAAATATTATGAAACTCAGATTTCTTTCCAGTGAGATATTGTGATTGGGCTGTTGTAAATATTACTGTTGCTGCTGTTGAAATATTTTTCAAATCGATTATAATCCATTTTTTTCTATTTTTAATGATAATTTAATAAATTAAAAACATGTATTGATAACTGGGTTAAAAAAAAAAAATCACAGTTCAAATCCATTCACTACAAGACTTGTCTTACCAATTGTAACAGAGGTCTCTGTTAGTCACAGGTCCCTCGTCAGTGAAGCACAGGATCGCCATGTACAGTTCTTAAGTTTATCTTTATCCCTGCAGACACACTCGTCCTCTGTTCAGCTGTCATCCCTCTGTTCAGCTGTCATCTCTCTGTTCAGCTGTCATCTCTCTGTCCTCCGGCCTCCTGCGTCCCAGCACACTACTGCTGATAAAGAGGAGAGCGTCATTAACCAACCCTGAACACCTGTGCACAATCAGACTCTTTCCCTGGCACCAATCCCAGAGCCACATACCCGCTCTCTCCCTCCTGCAGCTGACGCTGATCATACCCCCAGCACAGTGGTTAGCAGATGTCGCCTTAAGTTAATTGTACAGGCTGCGCACAGCACAAAAAATGTTCATGTCTCACTGCGTTCATGTAGAAATACAGGAAATAATGTGCAAACTGCTGCAAACCCCATTTACCAGCATTGAAATGTTTGCTTCCGCTGTCTCCGATGGCACTGGGCATCTGCAGTGTCCGCGCAGGCGTAGAGGTGATACATTGCTCATTGCAGACAGATAAGAAAACAGAAAAAATTGTAAAGGCAACCAAGAAATACCATGGAATCAAAGAACTAAGTGGGGAGGCAGTGGATGGAAAGCTAAGTGGAGAAATCTCTAACTCTCATGCATGGTGGTTTTGAATGGTATTGTTCTATTTGCAGTGGAATGCTAGAAGCCTCATTGCCAAGATTTTAGTAGGATTATATAACATTAACATCAGCCCCACTGTTCCAATGTCAGTGATACCACCATGGCAATTTGTGATACTGTCCATAGACACCAGTCTGCAGCAAAAACTAAAAGATAAGGACAAGATGGTACAGACGTGCGCAGTATTGCAAAGTCATATAGATCAGTATCGGCATGTTATTTATATTAACAGATGCTTAAAAAGAGCCAGAAAATGGGCATTCCAGCTCTGCATTCTTCATTCCACAGTTTGACATAGCAGTTAAAAGATGAGTCTCAGACAACCTGTCAGTTTATACAGCTGAATTACTGGCTATTCTGTTTGCATTGCAGTGGCTGGGGGAGAGTGGCCAGGCCAATGAGATTGTCATTGCATCTGACAGTATTTAGTCAATCAAATCCTCATGCAGACAAGATACTGTCTAAGAAATGTTTCATGTTCTCCTCAGATTACACCAGAGAGGGTTGCGTGTCTCCTTGGGTTCCTGCTCAGTGGAAGGCAATGAGAAGGCAGATATATTGGCAGAACAGTCAGGTTACCATTAAGCAAAGCAGAAATGACCCATTACAATACATATCATTTAGCTGACGCTTTTATCCAAAGCGACTTACAATAAGTTCATTCAACCATAAGGGTACAAACCCAGAAGTTAACTAGATAGATAAATAGATGAACTTTATCGATCTCAGTTGGGAAATTGATGTGTCACAGCAGCAGGTCAACATTCACGAAGAGTAAGAACACAAAGAGACAGGGTGCAAAATTGCAGTATTTGTTTGACATGAGTAAAATAATAACTATGACTATGTGTAGTAAAATGAGTAGGAATATAATATGAGCAAAATAAATAAATACATTGACAGTTATTGCAGCAGTAATTACTAGTACGTAATATCAGAGGTGGGAATTGTACAGTCTTATTGCTGTGGGCAGGAAAGACTTCCTGTATCTGTCCTTGCTGCAGCGGAGCTGAACCAGTCTGTTGGAGAAAGTGCTCTGCTGTCTGTCCACCAGGTGGTGAAGAGGGTGCTCTTGATTGTCCATGATGGATAAAAGCTTATTCAGCTCCCTCCTCTCCACCACCACTTCAAAGTGTCAGGTTTGCACCGACACCGGTCCACCAGCAGACCACAGCAAAGACAGTACACTGGCTACAACAGACTGATAGAATATTTCCAACATCTTGCTGCACACGTTGAAAGATCTGAGCTTCCTCAGGAAATAGAGTCTGTTCATTCCTTTCTTGTCGACAGCACCGGTGTTGGTTTTCCACTTCAGTCCGTTGTCGATGTGGATGCCCAGGTATTTCTAATCCTCAACTGTCACAACCAGGGTTATTATAGTTAACGAAAACTAAGACTAAAACTAAAACTAGCAATGAAAAAATAATTTAGTTAACTGGAATAAAAACGAAAATTACAAAAAAACGAAAACTAAATAAAAACTACAATGAACAATGTAAAACTAACTAAAACTAAACTGAATTGCAGATAAATTCAGCTTCGTTTCCCCCCTGGATCACTGCCTGTCCTGCAGGTGATGGTTAAAGAATGAAATGAAAGGACTTGATAAACCATATTTGGTGTCACACATTGTTTCATCCTTTTTCAGCTTCTACAAGTCGAAGCTTTCTCTTAATACCTGGACAAACTCAAACTAAAACTACATAAAAACTAAAGTAGTCAATTCCTCAAAATAAAAACTAAACTAAAACTACAAAATCACTTGTTGAACTAACTAAAACTAAACTGAAATAAAAAAGCAAACTGAAAAACGAAATAAAAATACAAACTAATGAAAATTTCAAAACTATAATAACTTTGGTAACAACATCTTCTCCCAGAATACACAGTGGCTGTGAAACCGTCCTCTTCCTCCTGAAGTCGACCACCTTCTCCCTGGTCTTGGCCACATAAAAAGAACAAAAAATATATTTTAAAAAAATTACAAAAATAATTGTTAGGTAAGATATCAAGGAACATTCACCATCTTCTAATAAACTACAGGACTTGGGAAAAATAATTAAATTTGAGTTTTGTTTGCGCCACTCCTCCGCACTCCAGTCCAGAAGGTGGCGGTAATGCACTTATAGGCTCGTTTACCAACCGTCAATAAACATCAGAAGAGTAAGAAGAAGAAGAAGAAGAAGAAGAAGGGGAAAAAGACGGTTGCGTTTGAAGGACTGGTGCTGCTAATGTACCTATTAAACGCTCCTAAAAGTAGATGATGTGGGGTCTAAACGATCGGTAAAGGTCTATGGAAGAAACAGCAGCTAATTAAAACCCCATCAACCAGAGATCGTCGGGCTGGTCTGAAGGTAATTCATTAGTACGAGGATCCTCCTGTTTCCCTTTGCTGCCTAGCCACAGTAAGCTAAACTAGCTTAACAAGCTAGATGAGTACCTACTGTCGACACATCCTCACACACAGTGCAAACGTCGGTACAGAAGTCAGGTGTTTGTTTTTACAAAATCGAATTACGTTAAGTGCACAACACGAGCGAGGAGGGGGCTCATCTACGGAGCGAGTGGCGTGAACGCGTCACTGTCAAATCAAACACCGGTTCAGCGTGAGCTGAGGTAATCAGGGGGAAGATGTCAGCTTTACCTTCTGATCACCGTCCAGTGTCGATCAGACTGGGACGGGACAATGACGGGCAGAGGAACAGCAGACTGATGGGCTGTTGTGTGTTAATGCAGTGGTCAGTCATGGACAAGAACAGTGAGACCTGTCCCTGAGCAAACGAAAGTATTAAGAGATTGCCTGTGATGTCCCTTTGATGTGCACAACTTGACCCCACTACCTTCTTATTCGTATTATTCCTCCACGGCTTTCTCTGATAATCTCCAGGTGGTCTCTCAGTTAGAAGTCAGGCAGACGCACATTCTCTGGTGATTTATTTACCCCCTCTTACATATAATGTGGAGGCTAAAGGATCAGTATTTCTGTCCACCTGTTTGTCCGTCATTTTGTTTCTGGAGGAGAACCTGAAAACATTTGGATTTATTTCATGAAATATCACAATTCTGTTGAGCGGGTGGTGTATTGGTGCTTTGATCTTTATCTTGATTTCCATGAGTGTCCAAATGGAGAGTAGGCTCTCAACTCTGTTGTTTGTAGTATTTATTTATCACTGGTACTGAATTATGGGATTACTCAATACTAGACACCTTCACGCTAAAATGAACAGTAAGTAAAGGCGAGTGGCCATTAAATCCTGTGTGCAGCTCTCAGGTAGTATGGTAGAATTATCAACTTGTTTTAAGCATCCCTTACTGTCATGAATTCTAATCTAAAATGATACATATATATTACATACCACTGATGTATACCTGTGTTTGTGTTATTATTAGGGCTGGGTTTAAAAAATATCTGATATCGATTCATAACAAGCACGAATCCATTTTTTTAAATATATGCCTTTTCCCATGAGTGACCACATTTTACATAAGGACAGCAGCAACATTTTTCAGCAACAGATTTTCAGAGAAATCTGTGTCTGAAGATGGAGCGAGACAGAGTTTACACACACACACACTCTCACACACATACACACTGGGCCTCATCCACAGTCAGAGTAACACAGTGAACAGAGATAAAATGAGCAGTAATAAGTAATAATGGTGTGTTTCCACTACGTTCCGCTGCTGCACTCTGATCAGCACCACTGCTTCATGATCGGGGCAGAAGCAGCAGTTGGTTGTCCTCCCTCCATAATCCTGCTGACCTGCACTCACTCTAATTTATAAACACAACACTCATTACTACTTATTAGGACCTCAGTCCACTTGCCGTGACATCGGGGTTAAAGTGATGTGACACCATCGATTAATAACTAAATAAATGTGATGGGAAAGACAGAATTCAAAGTTCACTGCTCTTTGAAAGGATTATTATTATGCTTATTATGCCTCCCGGCACACCAGTGTGCACACCATTTTGGAACCACTGCTCTATGCTTAAGTAAGATGTATAGGTAAGATGCAGAAATACATATGGCATTTTGCTCAATGTGGCAAATGCAGACCACAAAGAGCAGATGTATATTATTGTGGAATTTGTTTCTATAGTATTTAACAAATTTGTATTGACCATAATTTGTCTGATTGTCTTCATAAATGTGACCTCAAACTAGTTTTGTGTTCTCAACATTTCCAGTTAGAATTTTATTGTAAGATAAATGTGCCCTGTCCTTTCTGCTAGGTTTGCTGCTGGATTGTGTTTTTCCCACGTGGGCCTTGCACTTCCGCCTCCAGGTCCAACTGTCTGACCTCTGCACCATCACTTTACCTGGCCCATGGACTTGACTTCAGCACCAGGCTTCAAAAGGAGGGCTGCTGCCTCATCTTCCCCACGTGAAGTCGGAGAGATTACCAGGAGCCCTCCTCCCCGCTCTCCCTCCTTATCTCTTTCTTCTCCTTCATCTGAACCATCGTCACCCTTGTCGACATCCTCCTCTGTCTGCGCCAGCTCCTCAGTTTATCAGAACCATGTAAAAGGTCAGACCCAGCAGACAGAGGTGTCCTCCACGTCTGTCTCTCGAGCAGCACAATCCCTCTCCACTGCTAAACCCAACACCATCTGCATGGATTTCTGCTTTCACACTTTGGTACAGCCAAGTCAAGATTGTGAAGAAAAGGACAAGAAAGGGGAGATGTATGATCCTTTCCACCCAACTGAGGGAGACAAGGAGGTAAGGATGAAGGGGGAGGGTGGAGAAGGGGAGAAATATGACCCCTTTGACCCCACTGGTTCCCCTCCATCAGACACATATGGGAGTGACAAAGTAGGGGGAGGGGAGAACGTGGACGAGAGAGGAGATGAGAAGGAGAAAGAGGAAGAATACCCAGATTCCACTGACACTTTGACTGATCTGCTTAGCCCCTGTCTGGTCACCCAGCCCCCTTTGGGGAGTAAAGTGAACTGTGGTACTATCAAGCATGGAGAGCAGAGGCAGAGTGCTGACTCTGACCACTCGGAGATAGAAGAGGGGGAGATAGTTGGGGCTGCGGAAAGAAATAAAATCAGCAAGAGAGCAGAAAGAGAAATTCTCTCTTTGAATTCTCCCACCGTGTCCTTTTTTGGTCCAAAGCCAGAGCGAATCCTCCGGGTGCTGGATGGGGAAGGCTTTGTGTCTTTGTGTGCAGAGGGCAGCTGGGAGGTGGACAGGGAAACTGAGGAAGAGCCTGTGGTGGGGGTGGAGGACCTTAGAAGGAAGTTGGTCAGTAGGCGGAAGGAAAGATATTTGTCCCTTCCCACTTCTTCCCCCCTTTCTCCTCAGCCACCACCACCACCTTCCTCCCATCCGCCAGCTTCTACATCGTCTCCACCTCTCACACCTTCTGTAGAGCAAGATAGCAAGAAGCACAAGGCCTCCAAAAGTTCCAAGGACAAAGAAGGACAAAAAAGCAAGGATAGGAAGGCTGGAGAGAAGGAGGAGAGACGAAAGAAAAAAAGGAAGGAAAAATTGGAAGGGGAGGAGAGGAGCAAGGAAAAGGAGCAAGGGCACAAGACTGGAAAGGAGGTGAAGGGAATGAGGAGCAGCAGCCATAAGAAGAAGAAAAGACAGCACAACTGCCCAGAGACTTTACGAAGCTGCGACTTGGGCAGAGGGGGCAACATAAGACACTCTTTTTCAAGCCTATCTCAAGAAAGACATCAAGAGAGGTTAAAAGATATAGATAGAGATATGGACAGAAATACAAAGCAAGGAAGAGGGAGGGAGAGGCATAAAGAGAGGGAACAAAATCGCACAAGTAGCCATAGAAGAGATGAAAGAGATCGAGATTCTAGCTCAAGAAAGGAGAGGGAAAGGAAGGGAAGACACAATTTAAGTAGCAGAGAGAGATGCATTTCAAAGAGGTCCGTAAGAAGCAGGGAAAAGAAGGAAGGTGAAAGAGATAGACAGCGTGAGAGGGACTGGCGGCGGGATGGTCGTCCTGTTGTCCCGCCATCTATTCAAGACCTTAATGGCTCTGACCTCTTTGCTATCAAGAGAACCATCACAGTCACCACCACCACAACCACCACCACCGTACCCGGCTCTCCAAGACTTGCCCCAACCTCCCCCTGTTGGCCTAAACAAGACCCTGACAAGCCTCACAAGAGGAAAAAGAAGAGAAAATGGCACTCGACTGGAGAGGTGGAGGACAGGGGATGTTGTCGCAGCCGATCACGGTCATTCTCACCTCCAAAGTATCGTAGCTTTGAGTCAGACCAATATTCAGAAAAATTTGAGATTGACGTGTTGTCTTTGGATGGCGAGGCTTTGGACTCAGACTACCCATCTTTGGAGGATACACCTCCTGCTGCCCTTGTGCCAGAACCACCTGTCCTCAGCCCCAAAACTAAGATTACCTTAAAAACTGAACGACGTCATCAGGGAAAGAAATCTCGCACATTAAAGAAAATTGGTCAATCTAAATCCTCCTCTTCAAGTAGAATCAAAAATAAATGCCTCTCCTCAATGATGGTCACTTCAGGCTCTCCCTCTGTCTCATCTGGGCTTCCCTCAGCAAAGCAAGCCAAGAAATTGGGAAAGGACAAAGATCGAGACAGATGCAGTAGAAAGGATTTGGGCCGCTCTGGCAAGTCCAACAAAGAAAGTGGTGGCAGTCGGAAAGGGAAGCTTCAGTCCAAAGTTTCTGTGTTGGTGCGTGAGGGTGTAAGCAGCACCACAGGTACTTCAGTTGGCTCTGGAAAACTAGGCATGGACCTTCTAGGGCCAGGAAGTACAGGTGGGGGTGCTGGGGGCTCTGTGGTGGGTGGCTCCATTGCAGTAGTCTTCTGCAGGGACAATGAGAGCAGATCTCCATTTCTCAAACCCTGCTCAGAATTGCCATCACTGGGTGGTCGCAGTAAAGATCTGTCCAGTACGGGTAAGAGAAACAGCCTGGCTGTAACACCATCGTCCTTAACTAGTTCTGCAGGGCTAAAATCCAAGAAAACAAAACCCAGCTCCATCACATCCACTTCCTCCTCTTCTGCCTCCTCCCCCTCCTCATCTCTTGTAACGAAGCACTGCCGTCGCCTGGCCAAGAAGACTAGAGATAAAGGTGGAGCTGCAGTATTAACTGCAGCTTGCAGCCAAGCAAATACTACAGCTGAGGGCTGGGGCGGGGCGTCTTTAGATGTTCAGTCTGCTGTTGGAAATGGGAACAAGTCAGTCAGCCCACATACTGACCAAGTTGGCCCTCCACCCTGTTCTTCCTCCTCTTCCTCCACCAGTGTGCTCCCACCCTCCTCTCCACAACAAACGCCTCCACTCTCTGTTGCTCCTATGCAGGACACAGGGGGTTCTTCTCCAGACTCTCAGACTGTTGACAGCAGCTGTAAGACTCCAGACCCTATTTTCCTAGCTGACAACTGTCCAACTCAGACCAGCCCCACACTACCAACGTCCAGTCCAACCAGTCTGTCTGCACCGCAGGGAGCTGGCCTCAGCATCACCTTGTCTACACCCACAGCCAAACCGCCTCCTCTAGATGATGCTCCCAAAACTCTGGTCTCACCTTCTTGCTCATCCTCTTCGGCAGGCTGTGGTCTCACTTCCCTTTCTCTGCCTCTGTCTTCATCAGACCCCTCCTCTGTATCCTCTTCATCTGCAAATAAGCCTCCTCTTCCTCCCCCTCCAGCAGCAACTGCCCTCCCCTGGAGTCTGCAGACTGGAGTGGACTGCACTACCGGAGGAGTCTTGGCATGTGAGTTTGCTCAATAGGTCCACAGAGGTCGGTCATGTTACTATTAGGTCTGCAACAAACAACTAATTTAATAAGCTATAATATTATTTTGATTTAATTGGATAAAACAAGAGCTAGAGGCGTGGCTGTCACTTACAGTGAGCAGAGTGTCTCTGGCAGGCCACAGCAAACATAGCTGTATTGACGCAAAACCTAGCAATCTAGGACCTTCTTGAATGTTTTTGTGCTTTAGAACATAACTGCTGTGAAACAGTCAAAGTTGCGTGTTCTTATGTTTGTATTCGGTGCTCTCTATACAATCAAGCCTACAGGTCTCTCAACCACTGCTGCTTTCTCTCTGTTGAGCCAGGGAAGCAACAGTTGTCATAAGTGTGGGCAAACTTTACATCGAAGCCTTCAATGAAGACTGTTAGCTATCAAATGTGTAACGCCTATTGTGCATGGCATTGTAGCACAACATGCACCTAAAAGTTGTTTCTGATCTACCAGTAAACCGAGATGTCACCTTCACCCACGTTATATGAACTTTTCCTGAAATAACGCTGTCATTTTTGTTCCCAGTGACTGCTCTGCTCTTTAAAATGGAGGAGGCCAATATCGCCAGTAGAGCCAAAGCACAAGAGTTCATTCAAGCAACCAACCAGGTGACAGTGACACTGTCTCTCTGCATTGAGCATAGTCTTCATGAAGATGAATGATGAATGCGGTATCCATATGTTATTAAAAGGAATGTTAAAGGCAGTACTGTTTAAACAGTTTATCTCTAGTATGTGTTTCATCATTGTGGCAAAATGAGGCTTGGCATTTAATGGTGCCTGAATGAGGGTAGCTAAATTCATCTAAATCATTCTTTTGTTTCAGCGAGTTGGTTATGAACTTTTTTCAATCTGTAAATTACCAGTTTTTCAATATTTAAAATACATATGTGTAAATTCATGGTTTTAAATAGATTATGAAAACAGAAATAAGTAATAAGTAATTGCACCTTGGAGTCACTGGACATTATTCTTTTTTTTTTTTTTTAATAAATCGACTTGTGACCACAAAATCATCAAGCATCAAACTGCACTTTGTTTACCATAGCACTACTATTTCATGCACACCCAAGATCTCTTTAGAATGGGATTAGGGCAAGAATGTGAGTAATGCTTCTTTGAGTTAACTTCAGTAGGGAAAAGAAATGATGGAAACAGAATGAGTTAATAAACAGCTTTTTTACTTAATACTAGTGTTGGTTAATTAAGTAGCAATAGCAAAAAATTGTGTGCACTGCTTTTTTAATACACTTGGATGGTCAAACATTAGCCAGCAAAACCTTGTAAAACATTTTGAGATTTAACGTGCTATTACTTTGTGTCATGTCTTTCATACAGATCCTCTCACAGGCCAATCAGAGCCAATCACAGCAGCATGGTCCTCCCTCCTCTGCAGCTGCCTCCTCACAGATTCCTCCCCCTCCCTCTGTTCCTCCGCCTCCTGAGCTGAGCCCAACCCAGTTCATACTCCACAGCTCTCTTCCATTGGTTGGCTGTTCCAAAACTCCACCCTCTCACCTACACCCCTCTATAGGTGGTGGATGTATTCAGACTCCACCCTCAATTATGCCTTTGGGGTTGTCAGGAGTGAATGTGACCTCTGGTGACAGTGGATGGGACAATGGGAGCAAAGACCCTGATAAGGTAAGGATGAGCACATCAGGCAAAGTTGCCTTTAGGAATCAGTCTACCCGGAAATGTGCACATGTGGATCTCACGGTAAGGAGGTGCTGAAAGATGTATTGTTTGGTCTTATCAGCAGTGGTATCACTAATAAAAGTTAATTCACTGGTCCATTATCCAGTCCGTGAAGGGCAAAACCAGATAGAATGGGCCAGAGTGTGCTCCGCTGCATGGAATTCATTGCATGTTGGTGAGATGAAGGAGTAAATCTTAAGAGTTTACAGAAGGGAAGAAAAGGAATTAATTTAAACTGGATCAGCTAGTTGCTGCTGTTAAGATCGTGACAGATTTGATTTTATTCAAAGCTTTAATCCCCAAACGCCCAGGTTTCTCTAATATGTAAAACTGGCAAGGAAGAGTTGACAACAGAATTAGCCTCCATGTGCAACCAAAAGGGGGACCCAGAAGACAGAGCTACAGTGGGCGAGATAGTGTATGTACAGCAAATTAAGAAAACCCATGCCAATAGAAAAAAACACATGCATATTAAGAAAACAACTTCATCAATTTGACGAGACAATAAAGTGACAACATATGCAAATACAGAAACACACTGCAAAATGTCACAACACAAACTCAGAAAACAGCATCCATTTTGGATGACACATGTGCTGCAAAAAGTCACAGCACATGCATATACAGACACATGCTGCAAATAGCAAAAAATGACACAGGGAATCTTTCCAGGGGACCAGAAAAAGCGATGAACCTGGCTGTAGTTGAATGCTTGGTGAAGTTATTGGTCAGCTACTTGTCAGTGGTGATGGAACATCACAAAGCATTCAACTACAGCCAGATTTAAAAAGCTGATTTCACATGGAACAGCAGCAGAACATCACTGTGGTATGAAAGTGAAGAGAAAGCATGTTAGAGACATTCCTCCACTTCCTCTTCTTTCTCCTCTTAACAAATTACTTTACTCTAAAACACAGACACACACACACCAACAAAGACTGAGATGTCTGACCCTGCTACTGTATAAATGTAGTTTGTTTGAAATGACAGTCACAATTTCATTAATTCATCTCGGCCTGACTCTGCTTGCTCTTTTCCCCTCTCTCTGGCACTGACACATGGTTTGTTAGAATAAGCGGGGGGGGGTTTGGAAAAACACACATTTGAAACAGTAAAGAGAAGAACAGTAAAGAGAAGAACATGTTGGACTGTGGAAGCCTAATTTAAATAAAGGCCCGGCTGTCTGTGCAGTTAAAGGGATAGTTACCCAAAAATTATAATTCACTCATTATCTACTCATTATTTACAAGATATGTCCATAATATCTTCAGTTGTGTTGGATTCAATGTTTACCCCTGAAACTGCAGCAGTGTTTTGTGGACTCAAACACTACACCCACCCCTCCATCGGCATAGGGGTAAGTAGATAATGAGTGAATTATAAGTTTTGGGTTAACTATCCCTTTAAGGTAGGTGAACTGACAGTACTGTAGGAAGTGTTATCTTTTTTTATTCATGTGTTGCACTTTAAATAGTTATATTTTACTTAATACTCTAAGAATTGTATTATTTATATAATTATTAACATGTCTGATATCTGAATTACCCAGTACCTGAAGAAACTGCATACCCAGGAGAGGGCAGTGGAGGAGGTGAAGCTCGCCATAAAACCTTACTATCAGCGCAAAGACATCAACAAGGACGAATACAAAGACATCCTAAGGAAAGCTGTGCATAAGGTCAGCATCAGAACACAGGCGCAATGACACGATTAGTATAGGAAAACACTGATGAAGTAAATGTGTGTATGTGTTTACTTATGTTCATTATTATCCTGCCAATTCAAGTAATCTGACAAAAGTAAGAGGATGTTACCGCTGGACACAATTTGAAATGATCTGTGGTCTTCACTTGCAGTTCTAGACATCGCAGAAGCCATGTCCAATATAAAGCTTAGATCTTGCCCACAAGACCTGCAGAACTTTGGCGAGTTCCCTGAATTTGATTCTGTAGTCAACACAGACCCCTCATCTATTGATCTTGTGCTCAACGCCTGTTCCTGTGCTGCCATGATTGTGCCTCTGTGATGTCTTTCAGACCAGCCTTTTCAAGCCACTGGTATGATTTTTCGATCAGCCACTTCTTCTATCTGCCGGTGGTAAATGCCGTGCAGGGGCTTGTCCTTCCATGATGGTCTCTCATCTTCCTCCTCGTCCTGATCTGCTGTCTGAGGTATTCACTAAGCATAGCATTACTCGAGCCCATCTTAGTGATGTTCTGGATCTTTGTTGTTTCATCCTGGATGATGGCTCTGATGCTTACTAGTCCTCAGACTATCTCCTGCTTAGTGTACAAAAACCCTTCATGCACTGTGAGGAGCTTGGTTATCTTCCATGTCTTGATGTCAGTGGCCTCTATCTCCTCCTTTGGCCAGGTTATTGTAAAAATGTTGATAGCTTGGACCGTGTTCTTTCCATCCAGCTGACTTTTCAGGACCTGCCTTACTCTGAGTAGGTAGTTGGCTGTGGCAGACTTCCTTGCTGCCTCATCATGGTTTTCTATTGCCTGCGGGATCCCAAGGTATTTTCTAGCTGTCCTGAACATCTACTATGTTGCCTTCTGGTAGTTCAACCCCCAGTTGTATTCATCTTGCCTTTCTTTGATACCATTCAACCACACGTACGTAGTCTGAATGACATTCCAATGTTGCTGTGATGAGGAGTAGATGTCTCGCACATTCCTGGCATACAGCTTGATACCATCCATGTAGAGGAGGTGGCTAATGATTTTTCCACTTCGGAATCATTATCCGTAGCCACTCCTTGTGCTGATCGGCCTGAGGGTGTTCAGGCATATGCAGACCAGCAGTAGGGACAGAGCATCTATTTGATATGCAGCACTTGATGGTTACTTGTGTAATCGGCTTTGAGTTCACCCTAGAGTTGTTTTCCACAATCCCAATTCTGCTCTTAGAAATATTAGCCACTGAGCATTGATGTACTCTGAGTACATTAGAGGGTTTGGTTCTTCCAGCTTCTACTTCTTTACTGTACCTCTTGAGTTGGGTAGCCAGAGCTGTGAGTCTGACACCTTGTTGTACTTTTTAGGTAACCCTTTCATTACCTTACCTTTGTGTTGCTCAGATAATTGGCTAACCTCTCTCTGTCTTGCCTTGACCTTGGCCTTGAGCCCTCTTCTCTATGGGGGTTATTGCTCCTTATGGCTTATGCAGTTCATCTTGTAGTTGGGTTCAGTATCTTGCCTACATTACGCGTAGAATGGGGGACAACTTTATTAATATAACAATATTGTATATAAAACTTCAACTTTATTATAACAGCACCTGTTTTATTTCCTTTATTTGACTACTATATAGCCTTCTGACTTGAAAAGAATAGTTCACCCTAAAAGGATTATCTACTCACCCCTATGCCAATGGAGGCTGGGTGAAGTGTTTGATTCCACAAATCAGTTCTGGAGTTTCAGGGGTAAACAGTGTAGCAGCCAGGGCGCACCCAATCTAAGACAACTATATTAGGGCTTATTTTCAGACATAAAAAAACAACAGGAAAAAATAAAGAAACATGCCTCCATACTGCTCCTGTGGTATCATCCATGTGTTCACAAGCCCCGACATTCATATTCGACTCTAAACGAGATGATTTACAACGTGTTTTAAAGCCTAAATGTCCGCTGATTTCTTCCGATGAGGTGCATTCAGGGACCGTAAGAAATGCTAACGTCTGCTAGCTTAGCCTACTTCCATTTGTTTTTTATTTGGCTGCAACACTGTTTACCCCTGAAACTCAAAAAGTGTTTTGTGGACTCAAACACTTCACCCCCCCCATCAGCATAGTGGTGAGTAGATAATGTATGAATTTTCATTTCTATCCCTTTGAGACTACAGCAAGATAATAAGCCATAACTTTAGACAAACTCATTGGTGGCTTCACATGATGGAAGAGCAGCACAGTCTCCAGACTTAAACCACATGTAGCTCATTTGGAATGAACTGCACAGAATCCAAAAGCAAGGCAACCTGCAATTGTAACATACTCGTACTCAAACTGGTTCTGATTTATGTTTCATTTCCTTTGTTCAAAATGTCACGCAGCTGATAAATGAGTCAAACATTTTGATTGAATTCAAGATTTAAGATTTTAATCTTAATTATTTATTCAATGATATAATTTCAGAGTACACTGAAATACACTATAGCCATTTATAGACATGAACTCTAGATAATATCTGGACAATAAGGTCTGGAGTTTTTTCGCAGTTTGCCTTTCATATATGAAGAACACATCAGGAGATTGTCTGTTCAGACATGTTCACAACGACAGAAACATTTTAATTTTGCCCCGGAGATCACTTGTTTTTGTTTACTGCACATCAATATCACCAAAAGCTCTTGAATCTTGTTGTCTTTACAAGTTGACATCTTCATCTGTGTATTTTATGTGTGTTTCACTTTTTCCTCGAAAGATATTTATACTCTTTTTGTATTGTATTTTTCTTTCACTGTCCATCACATGTTAACATCCTCAAAGCGTCCACTGCTTTATTCTCACATGGGCTTATTCGGGCATTATTTGGACTTGCAGGAAAAACTATGAAGCTTCTGATTCTGACATTTGTTCTGTCACATACAGCCCCGCCGGATAATTTCAGGAGAATATGAACAAAAGCACTATTAATCACCCTGTCACACTGTTCTTCTCTCAGATCTGCCACAGCCGCACAGGAGAAATCAACCCGGTCAAAGTCAGCAACCTTGTAAAGCTATACGTCCAGCGCTACAAATATTTTCGTAAACATGGACGCAAAATGGATGATGAAGAGAGGATTGACAGGGAGCCTGGAGCACTGCAGTCCTCTGACTATTAGCAGACTTTTAAAAAAATGATCCTCCACACCGCCTTCTGCTCAAGACCTGGGCCATCCACTGATGATCCACTATTTTTGTTGATATTTTTACTGCTTTTGTAGCCCACCTTGTTTATGCTTTCATGTGATCTTCAACTGGGCATACGCTGTGCGACTGTGCGTCGTCTGCCTTGCAGTGTACAATGTCAGAAACTTTGGGTGGCTGTTGTCAGGCTCTGTTGGGTTTATTCTTTGATATAATTTCAGAGTACACTGAAATACACTACAGACATGAACTCCGGATAATGTCTGGACCTTTTCCGGAGTTTGCCTTTCATATATGAAGAACAGAGTGAGAGATTCCCCGGTCAGCCCTTTTCATGGTCAACAGAAAAATCTCTCTGGAGTGTTCAGGTATGAGCCTGATTTTTATGCAATTTCTTAAGTCACGCATCTCATTTTAGAGTCAGACCAGTTTTCAACTTTGTCGTGCATTGTTTGCCTTACAGTGTACAGGGGGGTGCAGGACGCGATCAAATGCTCCTGTCACTTGTCGTAGTGACGGATAGATTTTTGACATGTCCAAAACTATAGTTGGCCGTCTTTAGCCTCTGTAGAAGCAAAGTAACGAGCCGGATCAGATTTTTCCTCACTGTGTCACAAAATGGCCAAACACAATTGTCAGAAATGTAGATTATGGCTGGAAGCAATTGCACAGCAAGAAAGAAAGTTGCACAGTGTATGCCCAGCTTTGTGGAAATCTCTTCCTTTATGTCTGTGATCTCGCTGTGGTCTTACTTGCAAGATGTAATATGTTGAAGAAGTGGACACTGTCATTTGCACCTTGTAGTAGTCCAATACACCAACCCTGCAATAAAATACCACCTTTGTTAAGTGCATAGAATTTTTGACTGTCCATTAGAAGCTTTATAGTGGTGGTACTAATCCCAGGGCTATTAATTTTTTATTTTATTTTTTTTAAAGCAGCATTTCATTAGGTGTTAATGCTCGTTTGTCCTCCCCATCCCAATGTATATCAGAATTCAAGCTGAGAGAAGATCTAATTCCCAGATGCGCACATAAAAATATATTATATATTGTACCTTATTGTGTAACAGTACACCCGGCACACATGCACATACCCCACCCTATCTCTGAGTCTCTGTGGACCGTATGCAAGAGTTGGCCAATTTAATGAACTCACAGACACTTGACCTCTCAGTTTTTTGATTATGCTGTCTGTTGTGTGCATGTGTTACTGAGGTTGCTCAATCTCTTTATGAAATTACTTTACAGACAAAACATAAATGTTGCTTGAAAACCTGTTCAAAGTAGAGTGCTTTTCTTGATTTGTTTGTTCTTATGTGTCCATTATGTGTCCTCCATCCATTTTGAAATAAAATCCCTAGACCTGATAAATAGCCAACATTGGTCTGCAAAGCTTTGTTACTGACACAAGGTGGCACATTTCCAATTACAGGACTTTGCATTGACTTCCATTCATTGTGAACAGCCATCCAAAAACTCAACTCCAGCTGAACCTGAAACTTATCCAAATTTATTTCGTACCCCTAACCTTTACCAGGTTCTCAGAAATGATGTTTTTGCCACATAAGGACCTGGCTTTGGTCCCTATGATGTCTACTGGCCCTGAAAAAGATCCCATTTATCCTGATAAAGGGCTTAAAGAGGTAACACAAATGAGTACACAAATCACTAACACCAAGCAACACCCCTGCAAAATGTACAGCTCCAACTTAGAATAATGACTGACACTCACGGATGAACCGATTAGAATTTGGTGGTCAAAGGTCAAGGTGGCTGTGATCTTAGAAAACATGTTTTTGGTCTTGTGAATGCAACATCTAAAGAACACCTTACGTATTACAATTTAAGGTTAAGTGTGCAGCACCTAGTGGTGAAGTTTATATTGCAACCAACTGAATACTCCTCATTCTCTACAGTAATGAGGTGTCTATAGATCGATATATTTATAACTGTTGTCATATTATTTAGTCTGTAAACTGTAGTTGATAGTGCATGTTGAAAAGCTGTTACTGTGCTACGGTAGTGCTCTATCACTGACGTTAGGTAGCTGAAATAGCTGAATGCTAATGCAATCTAACATTAGAAGAGAGCTGAAGAGTGAGAAGGAAGAGGCAGGGGCAGACAATCTGTGAGGTAGAGGCACGGAAGACTTCCCAGAGCTGCAGCCGGAGGACACAGGAGGAGAGACTGAACCACTGCAAAGGGACCAGACTGAAGCTACACAGGTTTGTCTTTTTATTATGTTCTTGTGTGGCTTGCATGATGGAAACAGAAACAATATAACACACATAGTGTTTTCACACCACAGCTCTGTGTTTACATCTGACTGAGTAATGTAACTGTAACATTAGCTGTGCAGTGCATGTCAGACACTGACTATAAAACGTCAGCGACACCACTGAACACTTACATGAATACTTCATAGGGATAGCATGTTACAGGAATATTTTTGACTTATAAACCTGTTACTGTTTTACATATGTGGGATAAAAAATTTTACAGCCTACAACCCCTAATTATTGAAATGAACATAATATAGTGCTAATAATAAAGCCTTACCTGTGTTTCTCCATTGTTTGTGATTTCAGATACTTATTCAAGAGATGAGTGTCAAGCAGCACAGGTAGCTGACAGCTGCAGGCAGGGTGACCCACCTTTTGCTGGAGTGCCAAGGTGTTCCGATGAACTGTAGGCACACACCGTTCAGGTAGGTTCAGGAACATGTCCCTGAATGTACAAACAAGGCCAAGACAGTACATTGGTTTCACACTTGGTTTCTGAGTTTCCTTCCAGGCTCTCTGGAAGCTTCATACAGTACCACAAGTACACACACCTGCACAAGCACACACACCTGCACAAGCACACACACCTGCACAAGTACACACACCTGCATATACATCATCAAGGATATAATTAGCACCCGCAAGGACCTATTGTTTTTGCTAGGATTTTTTTTTATTTTAACCTACAGTTATGAAAATTGGCACACAATGTGTATCATTCCCAGGCACACATAAAAGCCTCTTGTAACTCTAAGCCACACCCAACAGGAAGTCTGCCAAAATCAGTAAGTGTCATCTCAACAACATGGAGATTAAAGGTTGGTAAAAGTTTTGGGTTTTCGTCACACGGTGTGACCACGACGTGGCATCAAACTTGATGACTCGCCATCCAAACACGAGGTTGTTGTATCTCAGACATACATGGTCCAATCTACTCCAAACTGGACATGTATGACAACAGTCCTGACGTGATGACATCAACACAGAAATCATGACTTCAAATCACAGCGCCCCCTGGTGGCAACAGGAAATGTCTTTTGTTTGCATGTCTTACACTTTGATGTTTCCCTCCTCGTCCATTGACCACAACCATGTCAAACTTAGAACGGCCTCAAGACATTAATGATGCAGTCGTGTGGAAACGATGAGTTGTCATCGAACGCCATGTTAGAGGCGTGGCATCTGATTTCACCATGACAAAAGAAATTGCCGTTACTTCAGTGTACATAGTTTAATCTCCCTCAAATGTCATGTGTGTGACAGCCTCCCTCCAAGACATTCACATGCTTCTAAGGAATGGGTGTGGCAAAATGAATGAGCGCCCCCTAAAGAGCAGCACCACGATTGACCGACATGTACAAAAATCGGGAGGGACATGTGTCATATCATGAAAAACAAAAAAGCCTCTTGGAGCGATTTGGTGGGGCCAAACAAGAAGTTGGTTATTTTGATTTAAGTGGCTATTTTTGACCATTTATACAGAAAGAATCAGAAATACTTACTACGTGTTGTATTTGAACAAACTCCTCCTAGAGCTTTCAGCAGATCAAGAGGGATTTCTTATAACTCCTCTGTGCATGGTCCAATCAGCCTGAAACCTCTTTCACACGATCACAGTCCCACCCTGATCAGATCCATGTGTCAATATCGACACATGACCACAGCACCACTTGCTAGTGACAGGAAGTGACATGTTTTATCATTTGAAACACAGCTGCTGGCTGCTTTTCAATATTCATCTGAATTGTACTCAGAATAGATTTAACACCTTCATCATACTTTATTGTCAGAATTGTGATATTTTTCCACTGCGGTGGGGCAAATCATACTCATCACACCAGGGTTATTACAAAGACAGCTCGTCAGCGGCTCTTCTTCAACATGGACTCCAGGATACTCTGCAACTTCTACAGGTGCACCATCGAGAGTATCCTGACCGGCTGCATCACGGCCTGGTACGGCAGTTGCACCGCCCTCAACCGTAAGACTCTACAGAGGGTGGTGAAAGCTGCTCAGCACATCACCAGGACGGAGCTACCATCCATGGAGGACCTCTACACCCAGCGTTGTACGAAGAAGGCTCACGGGATATTAAAAGTCCCCCATCACCCCAGCAACAAACTGTTCTGTCTGCTGCCGTCCGGCAGACGGTACCGCAGCATCCGGACCAGGACCACAAGACTCAGGAACAGTTTTATCCCACAGGCTGTAAGACTGCTGAACTCCTGAGCTCTGTGAAAGTCACTACATCTGTTTATAGCAACATATTCATTTACACATTATATTATTCATACGCACAAAGAACTATATTTATTTATTAAGTTTGCAATAATTCTAATTCTGTCATTATCTTTTCTATTCATCATATTTCCAACCATATAAAAATATAACGAGTGCAATAATTCATATCTGTACATTCCTCCCCATAACTGCTGCTAAATCCTGACTGCACATGTATATATCTCA